TACATTTTTCAAGTCTTTACTAAGGTCAGCTGCAGGGGGCTTAGAGTCATGTTAAAGTAAGCACTTTACCTTGATGCTCCTTAATTCATGACAGCTTGCACAATTACTTGGAGAACAAAATAATGAACACCAACATCTGTCTGTTCCCAACTGACTGATTCCCTCCTGATTATTGCATAGACGAAAATGTTAACTGGGGACTAAGATACGTACGAAACTCCTGGTAGAATGAGTGAAATGAGATTTGGTTTATTTTTTTAATATTTCAAAGGTAAAAGGCACCTAGAGATTATTTAAAAAAAAAAAAAAAGAGACCTAACAAGACATTTTAGGTTGCCTTTATGCATAATGAAAAATATACAGATGATTTTTTTTTCTTTTTGAGCTGTTAATTACCTTCTTGTAACTGTCAAAATTACATTGCTATCTGCTATGGCTTAAAATATGTAGATATGAATGCTGCTGAATCTGGGAGTGTAGCTGAGTTGTTTGTTGTTTATGCTTTTGTTTCCTTTCTCCCTCTGCTAATATTAATAGAACAAAATTCCTCTTCTTTTTCTCCTCCTCCCCTTGCTTTCTTCTAGGCTTTATGTTTTCTTCTGAAAGAATAACATCTTCTTAAAATTGCATTATGAGGCACAGAACACTAGAAGGGAAAATTCTGACCAGAAGTGGGTGGGTTTCTTTCAGTGACATCACATAATCTTAAGGGTAAGGGAGAGGCTTAGTCTGTAGTGTCCATGCTTCATTTAATCATATGTTTGTGTGCTTGGAAGCCTTTAGCCAGACTGATATTGCAGCAGGCAGGAGTGTGTGGCTGGGTGTGACTGCCCACAAGGGAAAAAAATATATGAATCCCAACTTGTGCTAGTTCAAAAAAGAGACTTCATACTGATACCACTGCAGTCTGACAGGCCACAACCTCCTTTTGGGACAGAGCAGTAGTCCCACTATTATCATGCTGAAATCAAACACAGCACCAGATATTCAAGTTCTGACTCTTTGAAGTGACCAGCCCATTACATATTTTAAGAGTACTCATTTCAAATTGAGGGCCATTCTGCCCTGAGACTGACACATACGCTTTCATTTGAGCTACTTTCATGATTTTGTGTTTTTTAAAGAATGCAATTACTTTTGCTGAGATATATGGATTGCACTTATTTCCTTCAAAACCTAGTATTTGCTGGAGTAGAGTGTGCTGGCTGGTCCTTCCTAGGGAAGCCATCTTGGCTCCATAGCTGCACCCCAAACAGGTGTTCCCCCTTCATTGTGCTTCTCCAAGGTGCACCACTTCCCTTACTTATTTACATCCCCAGGGCCTCTCCTTGCAATCACTGAAGACAGCTATGAGCCCACAGACACTGCGTTCCACCACGGCTCCGGGAGAGCAGCCTGCTACAACCTCAGGCCACCTCCCCGCCCCGACTTCCCCCTCAGGGCCCGCAGGGCCTCCCTTTAGCCCTGCCCCGGGCTCCGCGCCAATTACACAGCCCCGCTCGCCCCTCCGCCGCCTATCGGTGCCCGCCTCCGCTCCGGGAACACGGACCGCATCCCACACCTCCTTCCCTACCCCAACCCGGACCCGCCCCCCTGCCGTCGGCAGCCAATGGGGGAGCGGGCGGCAAGCTAGGCTCTTGCAGGGTGTGTAAGGGAGCGGTCGGTGTCTCACTGCGTTTTTGCTCGTGTTGTCCTTCGCTGCAGTCTAGTTCGGCGTGTCCCGCCTGAGTTCCGGTAACCGCCATTCTTTGAGCAGGTGAGCGGGAGGGTGGCCCGGTCGCCGGCAGCGGGCCCTGAGCAGATGTGGGGTGCAGGTTCTCGGTCACCGGCTTTCCCGGCTCGGTTTAGGTCCGCCGCCTGCAGGCTGTGGGCTCTGGCTGACCTAGGGGAACGGGATATGGGACAGTGACGGGCCGTGTTTCTCTTTGTGCGGCTGATTCACTGTGGGCTGCCGCTCCACCATTCCTCCCCCC